CACAAGGTTTAGCACCTTTTGAATAAAGTGATAGGATAAAAGTAACCAATTTTTACAAATATAAAAGTTATAGAACTTTTTCGAAATATATGGTTGGCAAAGCTGAATATAAGTTTATGAAAGTTCAAATCTGAGCTAGAATGCTTCCAAGCTTAGCTAGTCTAGCTATCTGCCATGCTCTAGGTGTAGATCTTAGCATTAGCATCATATAAACATGCTAAAACAATGAAAAGAAAAAGTTGCCTCTCAACATAGACATATTGCTCAACATGATTGTTTGAAAGGACATCCTTGAGTTCCTTATCCTTTGCAAATTTAAGGGGTGATTATCCAAAGTGGTGACATTCCTGGCATGAGCTAATTGCATTTAAATGAAGAACTTGGGCTAGAAGAATTCAAAAATCATAATGTTGTAGAAATAAAACACAAGAAACTGCCAACTATCGACATCTCTACTCACTGGCTATCAACTACCATCAATACAAGATTGTGTATTTATTTCTATTTTCCTAGCTGAAAGTTTTAAACTAATTGGGTTGATCTAACATAATGAAAGAGTTGTCAAGCACACGCAAAACAAAGATGATCTTGCTTTGTATGTGCTTGACAACGCTTAGTGTAAAATTGAATCTTGATTCATTTCAGGATAGTGGCAAAGATGATAATAATGGCAAAGAACATATTTATCAAATTGCAAACTGGTATCATGCCAAATATGATCCTAGGGTCATAAGGTACTGTTTGAGGAATCTTGTCAAGGGAACTAAAAACAAAATCACCAACACCAAAGAATCAACTTGAGTTGGAAGGAGAGATGTAATGTTTGAAAGAGCTAAGCTAAGTGCTCATAATATAGAATTGAGGATTTTAGCATTTGGATTTTCAATAAGCAATGTAGGAAAAATTCACACAATTGCTATAGAGAGGGTGGAATAAAATCTGCTAGAATACAAGTTCTACAAGTTATGCTATACTTAAAAAGTAAATGTTCAAGTGAAGCTGGATATAATTGGTGCACTATACAAGAAGGAGTTTGCAAGTGTTGTGTAGGAGAAGTGGTTATGGATATCTAGGTGGATCATGTGACTCTCAAATAGAAAATCAAAATGGGATTAGCTTACATATTTTATTTGATCTGGGAAAGCCTACTCTGCTGTTTATAGTAGTTGGCAAGCTTATGGCATGTAAGTATGTTAATATGGACATATATAACTTATTCAAACAAAATAACCACATGATGAATATTAATATATTTTTAATCTCTTTTCGCAAGTTAGAAATAATAGAGATTGTTATTGTCACACCTAAGATCATAAATAACTAAGATTCTATTTGGAGAAGGAAGTCCCTTGAATTGAATAATATGTTTATTAGCTATCTTGAGACTTGATAGCTTATGAAAACAATGTTCTAAATTATTGAGGGTAACCATTGGTATGAGGCTTAGATAATATGTATTAATGATTGTTTTTAGGATGATCCTATCTACTATATTAATGTTCTAATCAACCACATCTATGCAAAGGGATTTGTAGATGTTAATAAACTTATTGTGGCCTGCGCAAAAGCTAAATGCATAAGTTTGCTAAAATTTGGCCTCTAACTCTATTTTAATTTACTATGTCATATTTGATTTAGTTTACAGTCTGAAAATAGAATCTTCTTGACGACAAAGAATTTTATTGATAAGCTTTTTAAGTGTAATTAACCCTAAATTCATTTTTTATTTTTTCTTTTATTTTCAAAGTATTTTAAATGCAGAAACCCAGCTCGTAGATTAGGCACAGCTTCCACAGGAATCTCACTTACCTCTAGATTTCAAGTTTTAGGCTTGTGAATCACCCTCGATAGTGCCATTGCTACTCTAGTTGAATCCAGGGGCAACCACATTGTTCATAAACAAGCTTGCCTTAAAAGCTGTACAGGAGTGGCACAGCGGAAGCATCCCATAACCCACAGGCCCCAGGATCGAAACCTAGCTCCAAAACCATTTTGCCATTTTAGTTAAATATGCTATGTAGGCTAATTTGATCAAATGACCGTTAAATCCTTTTTGTCAACTGGATTGACTGCGTCTCGGAGAGTAACGACACACTCACACCTCTCCACCTTGCAAGTTAAGGGCTTTTCTTTGTGTTAGCAATAAGCGAGAAAGACAACGAAACAAGAGAGATTTGCTGGAGACAAGAAAGCGAAGCTGCTTGCAACGAGGTAAGAGGGTCTGAAGGGAAACTTGTGAATACCAACAAAACTAACGATCATTGAAAGTTGATGATACTTATCTTCATGTTGTCAGGTTTGCGTTTGTCAGCGCTTTGAGTTATGTTGTTGCTGCTCTTAACGCAAGACTTGTGAGCTAAGAAACAACACTAGGCAACTGCAGCTGAAGACATACATGACAATGGTCCAACCTCAATGAAAACAACGATCATGAAAGCTCCAAAGGCAAAGGAATGTGCATTGGGTGAATTTAAGATGCAGTTAGTTGAACAAACAGCTCATGAACCTGTTAAACTTCGGAACTTACAAATTAACAAAATAACTGGGGTTCTATTTTTATTTTAAAAAATCTTTCTAAAAAAAGTAAATAGTTTTGAACTTTTTGGTTTGCATAAGCAAACCTAGGGTTACTTAATGCTTGTATATTCTGGGATAATCTAACAGTTGTTATTCATTTAAATTAATCTTATATTTAGAATTTATAAATATAAAATTTTCTAAACACTTCCTCTAAACATGTTTATAATATAAAATTCCAATTAATAAATAATAAGAACTATTATTAATCAAATCAAGCATTAATGAATGGAAAAAAAGCTATTATTAAGTTTGATTTAATTTTTATTTTTGACTTATATTTATACTAATTCTTAATGAAAGTAAAATAAAAATAATATTTTAATAAAATGATATGATCTCCACAGTTTATATACTCATTTGAATCAATATTAGTGATTTAATATTTTATATTTAAGAGTCAGATAGCAAGAAATTATGAAAAAGGTGGAAAGTGTGCTTCTGGTCAACACCCTCTCAATGCTCAACAGATCTTCCAAGGGTTGTCAAGCATGGTACATTGACAAGAAGTTTGGTGTGCCTTCATCTCTGAGACATGATAATAAAGATGATGCAACTTTATGGGAACATTCTAAAACTGAAACTCAAGCTGCTGGTAAGTTCCTGCTGCTATGCACCGACAAGGCTGCTAAACTAAGTTCTTTGGCCTTTGCATGATTCAAGAGGATGCTCACGTATGTGCCTGCAGCAAAATGTTTTTTTGGCGTTGTTATTGAGACAGAGAAAACTATGGCAAATGTTATAACCATATCGTACGAGGACAATTCAAGCTTGTGAGCAAAGTTGTTAAGTGGCGTGAACAAAACGTATGACGCAATCTGGTTGATAGGGAAAAGCGTGCTGGTTGGCCATGCAGGCAGTGAGATGAGTTCGGAATAAGTGTTATGATACAAATGGCCTCTCTGAGCCACACATGAGTAGTGTTGAGACAAGGAACAAGGTCAGGTTGTTGTTCAGCGAGCTAAGAAGCTCCTTGGAAAGGATGTTAACTTATTTACTCCATGGTGGATCACTAGAGAAGACTTTATCATGCCGCATTGAACTCGACATGGTTGCATGGGGGACAATGCCACAACATCTAGCTACTAGGCATATTGTCAAGATTTCCCAAGGACAGAAAAAAGTATACACTGCTAGTGTTGCTTCTGAATCAACTCGTATATTGTTTGTTCTAACTAATTATTGCATCACATTTGTTATTAAGAATTTTATTGATAAGCTAATTAACCCTAAATTCTGTTTTTTTGTTGCTCTCTAAACCACATCGACCCCTCCTTCACACGGGGCTCTAGCTCGTAGATTAGGCACAGCATCCCACTTACCTCTAGATTTCAAGTTTTCTCCTCAAGGCTCATGACGATTCCAATCACCCTTGATAAGATCCACAGGTGCCACCGCTACTCCAGCTGAATCCACATTGGCCTGTTGTCACCTAAAAGAAAAACACACACGCACACACGCACACAAGCATACAGTACTGTTTTGGAAGAACAGCTTGCCCTAAAAGCTGTACAACATGCTTGAAGAAAGAAGATGTGCAACGAGATATCGGAGTGGCGCAGCGGAAGCGTGGTGGGCCCATAACCCACAGGTCCCAGGATCGAAACCTGGCTCCGATATTATTTTGCCATTTTTGGTTAAATATGCTACGTAGGCTAATTTGATCAAATGACCGTTAAATCCTTTTTGTCAACTGGATTGACTGGGTCGCGGCGAGTAACGGAATTTTGAATGTCGGAAGCGCCGCCGCCGCCGCCAACGCCGCCACCACCACCGAAGAAGAAAATCCCGGACCTCCCGCCGCCACCACCGCCAAGATACAGGTATGACTTGGGCCCCGACATGCTAGAGACGCTCTACAGGGCCTTCAATCTTGTCTCCAAGAAGGGCGCCAAAAAGAAACCCAACGAGGTTGAAGAGAAGTAAAACCCTCTCTCGCTCTCTCTCTCTCTCTCTCTCTCTCTCTCTCTCTCTCTCTCTCTCTCTCTCTCTCTCTCTCTCTCTCTCGTGATCTTACCTCTCTCGCCGAGATCTTATTTTTTTCGTGATCTTGTCAATCAGGGACGTGCCTGTATTGATGCGAGCGCTGGGATTCAATCCCACCGAGAGGCACATCGAGTATGTCATCTTCCGGGTGAGAACAAGATCGAGGAGATTTCAATGTGCTATTTTCCCGATTTTGAGAATTAAGTTTGGATCGTCCACAGGCAAGAGAGGAGGAAGATCCGAAGCAATGCACCAAGGGCTTCCTTGACATGGACAATGTCCAAAGCAAGATCGCCGAGCTCTTCCACGAGGATCCAACGATCGGTTATCGGCACAGTGAGAAAGAATTGATTGCAGCATTGCAGGTAAACCTGGAATTCTCTTTGTTTTTTTCTCTCTCTTTTTTTTTCACACTTGCTTTTGCTGTAGGCTCTGTGTCCTCCCGGACAGGATTATATTGAACCAGACGATCTCTACGTACGTGAGAAGTTTAAACAAAAATCTCATGTCTTCTCTTTCTTTCAGGATGCAATGACCAAACATGGAATCTGCTTCACTCACGACGAGGTCGAGATGATGATCAGAGTTAGCAAAGACAAGGACACACACAAGGTGTGGCACGAAGACTATGCCTTTCTTGCGGCAAACGACTCGGTTCCGAAACCTCCAAACATTGTGGCGACTGAGCTTCCTCCGGACATCCCCCACCCCGAGGCCAAGTAACTGATGGAGCAGCTACAAGTGAGCCAACTGCGATGGAATGAACTCACTTTCATGATCATGTACCAAAGACAAAAAACCGAGAGCGTCTACGTACCATCATCGACTTGGTCGCGGCTAGCTTGTGAAGTGATGAAGTTGGCCTGAAGATCGAGCCATAGTGGCTGTGCCACTGCTGGAGCCTCACGAGAATGTAGTGGAGACCAACAGTGTGGCCCCAGAAAGCAATTCCTCCCCTGAACAGCAGTACAAGTTTGATCGAAAAACTTCTAAAACCTTAATCGCATGCTTACCTGAATGCCGGGAATCCCATTCCCAGCACTGACGCAACATCAAGGTCGGAAGCACGAATCACAATCTTCTCGTCGATCACTCGGCAGGCCTCGTTGACAATGGGAAAGAAGATCATCTCTACGATGTCTTTATCTGTGATGCCTTCGGCCTGTAGAGATTTGTGAGCTAAACGAAAGAGCAGAAAGAAAGACGAGCTCGGATCATTTAGAAAAGGACTCGTACCGTAAGTCCTCTGGCATTGAGCCCCGCAAGCTTTCGTGATTCTTCTAAAATCTCATCTAGCTCGGGCGCTGGATGTTCTTGGCGTGTTCCATGATAGTTGTAGTAGCCTTTCCCAGTAGCCTCACCTGCAAAGAGAAGGAAAGGTGTCTCATTGCAGAAGAAAATAGTACGGAGAAGAAGAAGAAACAAGGAAAAGAGGCTGACACCATACCTGTACGGTTAGCTTTTGCCATCAAGGTACCCATGTAGGACGGGTAGAGTCTGTCCCCGAATTCCTTCTCGAAAGTATCCGCGACCAATGCGCCAATTTGCAGACCAGCAAGATCTCCCAGCCTGCATTGTTCGTACTCTTTTAGACTTCCAGGGAGACAAGAGAGAAGGACATACCTGAATGGACCGATTGGCATGCCAAAATCTTTGATCACAGCATCTATCCGATAAGGATGCACGCCCAAGTCCACCAGAAACGCCGCAATCCTGTGATATGGAAAAAAGACGCGGTTGACGGCAAATCCCACCGCGTTCTGTACCACCACGGGTACTTTTCCGATTTTCTTCGACAATGCCAAGAGGTCGCAAATGCTCTGGTGTGATGTCGAATCCGTCCGGACGATTTCGAGCAGTCGCATGACATGAGCAGGACTGAGCAAAAGAAAAGATGAGGTGGGAAGAGATAAATCTTGCTCGTAAGCCTTGAAGTTACCTGAAGAAATGCGCGCCGATTATACGGTCACGGAAGGAAACTCCGTCGGTGATTTCATTCAGGTCACACGAGGACGTGTTCGATGCGAGGATGCAATCACGAGAGCAGATAGCGTCGAGCTCTCCGAAAATCTTCTTTTTCAAGGGTATACTCTCTATGACCGCCTGCAAACACAAGAGTGAATGGCAAGACCACAAGAAGAAAATAAAAGGAGCTTGCAAGCATTACCTCTATCACGAGATTCGCCGACTCGAATCCTTTGTAGTCTACAGTGCCTACAAGAAGGCCAAGTGCACGCTGGAACTCAGCTTGAGACATGGAGCCTTTGGAAACCCGGCTCTTCAAGTTGGCTAACATTACACAACAACGTCAAGCTTCTTTCTCAAACCAAAACAAGGAAAGAAAGAAGAAAAAGAGTGAAATTTACTTGCCTTGGACCCGATTGATACCAGCTTGCAAGCGTTCCTCGTCAACTTCTTTCAGCAGGACACGGACATTGTGCACAATTAAAGCCGTGGCGATGCCCGATCCCATCAGTCCACCGCCTATAACACCCACGGTTTTGACAGGCCGAGCTTCAAGTCGACCATCACTCACATTTGGAACCTGCGAATTCAAGACATCAAAATCAAAAGATATAAGAAAGATATCATACGAGGCATGCCGAAAGGTTACCTTATACACAGTCCTCTCGGCAAGAAAGATATGCATTAAAGCTTTCGCGGGTAGGCTGTCCACGGTCTGAACTCCCATCTTTCGTTCCTGGAAAAAAGAAAAAGTAGCACAAAATGACGGGCACGACAGAACGTTACACTTACAAAAATCGTTCCCTCAATTCCACCCTTGTGGATCCCGTGCTCGATCACGGCGAGGCAGATAAACGGGTACTCAACATGCTTATGCGTCTTCTTGGCTCGCAGTCTAGCGTTGGCGATGATGTGCAGTGCTTTATGCAGGGGCTCCAGCTTATCACTTCTTTCCAAGGTTTTGAGAAAAGGATGCGTCTTGTTGGCAATGCCTTTAGCGTAGTTCCGCGCGAACTGGATTAGCTGCGGGTAATCGCAAATCGCATCCACGAGCCCGGCTTCGTGTGCTTCCTTTGCCTTTATCATTTTTGATGTCTAGAGGTTTAAAAAAAATAAAAAATCAGCAAGAACAACTCATTACAAGCGTGATTTTGCTTACCATCATCATCTCTACGGCCTTTCCAACTCCAACAAGGCGAGGAAGCCTTTGAGTGCCTTCAGTGTGAACGATTGAGCATAGAAGAGAAATGAAATGGATTTTACCTCCTAAGCCGGGAATAATTCCTAGCTGAAGTTCCGGGAGTCCCAGCCGAGCATCAGGAGAAGCTACTCGTGCGTGACAAGCCTTAAGACAAAAACACCCAAGAATGTCGAACAAAAGAAAAAAAAACGAAAAAAAGAACAAAGAGAGACTAACCATTGCCAATTCCAAGCCTCCACCGAGAGCAAAACCATGAATCGCTGCCACCGCTGGCTTTGATCCGCCTTGTTTGCAAAACAGAAACATGCTTGCTTCACAGCAACATCTTTTCGCCTTTCTTACCTTCTATGATATCGTTCATAAGAACCAAGCCAGAGACCTCGGTTTTCCTGACAGCGCCTACAATTCCACCGGTTGGTTGCTGAATCGAGAGAAAACATGAATATATCAAACCCGGTGCTTTGCTCATTGACTTTATGTCCGCTCCTCCAGAGAACTTGTTGTTGGCTCCTGAAAGGTTCCATCCGAAAAGAAGTGAGAAAAGAAAGATCGATTCATTCCACTAGAATTACCGGTGAGGACTATAGCTTGAACATCAGCCCTCTCGTGCGCTTCGATGAACTTTTCAGCCAGCTCGCCCATCACTGCGAAAGAACGAGAAAGGAGAATGAAGCTTTAGATAAGATCAAAGCAGCAGAGGCGCTGCCGCAAACCTTGCGCGCTGAGCGAGTTGACAGGCGGATTGTCGATGACGAGCAGCGCCACACCATCGCCTCCTACCTCTAAACGGACTTTGGACGCGTCCTCCATTGCGAGGAGACAATCTTAGGGCGACTTCGCTATATAACACAGCGGTGATTCCAAAGTCGTTCGTCCCTAAAATCTTTTAACTCAAGAGCTCTGCTTGCTACTAAAGTCTGGAACTTGGTTCTTCAGATCTTGCGCCATTCAACAGTGATCATCAATCATAGAAAGAAAAAAGTCGAAGGTTGGTGGAAAAGATATAGAATCTGTCAGGAATGGGATTCGAACCCATGCCCTTTTACGGACTAGTACCTGAAACTAGCGCCTTAGACCAGCTCGGCCATCCTGACATTATGCTTATTTTATGCTCAAGGCGCTTATTCTTTTCTATCTTAGAAATTTTGTAAAGAGACCGTGGAGCCCTAATTTTCCTCTCTCACAACAATGTCGGCGGAGCTCCTTGGCAGGAAGCTTATCGATTGTGGCACCAAGATCGTCGCGGTGGGGAGGAATTACGCAGCGCACGCAAAGGAGCTGGGGAGCGCCATTCCAAAGGTTCGATTTTGATCTGAGAGAGCTTTGATCGTCACATTTACTTGATCATCGGCAGGAGCCAGTGCTCTTCCTCAAGCCAACGTCTTCGTACGTCCGCGAGCCCGATCCGATCGAAATTCCAAAGCCTATCACGGAGGTGGATTATGAGGCAGAGATTGGTGTCGTGATTGGAAGGCGAGCGAAGGATGTGTTTGAGGAGGAGGCCTGGAATTACGTGAGAGGTTAATAGAAAGCTCATGTCTCTGGATTTTTTTTCGTAACTTCAGATGGATCACAGGCTATGTTTTGGCATTGGATATGACTGCGAGAAGCCTTCAAAACGTTGCAAAGGTACATTTTGAATGAGTTTCAATCGCGACTTTGCGAATTCGATCTCAGGAAAAAAGTTTGCCATGGACAGTTTCAAAAGGCTACGACACTTTCACGCCGATAAGTAAATTCGTGAGTCGCTAAAAGCTCGCTCAGTTTTCTTGACGCTGTTTACTTCCTTCTTAGTTCCAACTGAAGAAAACGCCCATTCCACCGCTCTCATTTTGGCTCAAGGTAAGCTTGGAAACATTTTTTTCCTGTTTGTAACTCGGACTCTTCCACCAGGTGGATGACCAGACGAAGCAAAAGGGGTGCACAAGTGATATGATCTTCAGCATCCCTTTTCTCATCCATTACATAAGCGGCATCATGACTCTCAACGAAGGCGATATGATCCTTACTGGTACAAGTGGTCGCTCTCTCGAAACTTTCAAGCTTTGTAATCGCCCTTTGCGTGACAGGAACTCCCCATGGCGTTGGACCCGTTAAAGCTGGCCAAACAATCACCGCTGGCATTGCGTCTCCAGCGGTTCAAATGACGTTCCCAGTGATAACTAGGCCGGACCCGGAACGCACAAAGTCTCCATTCCTCTCGGAATCTCTGGATGGAACCGATGTTCCGCAATGATCCAAGGCTCCAATCTACCGGAACTTTACGTAAGTTACTTGCTTGGCTCTTTTACTGTGATTTTCAACTTTCTTTCCGTGAGGCAGAGGTTCGAGAGCAATAGATAAGGTGTGGCATCCCAGGCTCTCGTCCGGAACGCGTTTTTGGCTGCTCGGACCCCGAGCACGGACTCGTCGTGGATCTTGCAAGAACTAAGCAGTGCCGCCCATGAAACAGAATCAGGCCTGAAAGGCATACTTTGCAGCAGCCATTCGGCACTTCTCACGTCTCCGGCTCGTCCAAGGATGCTGATCATGCAAGAGTAGTGCTCCTGCCGGGGCTCCAAGCCGTGCCCCTGGATCATCATCTGGAAGATCTGGATGCCCTCGAGCAGCACTCCCTTGTAGCTGCAAGCCACCAGTGTGCCCATGAAGGAGATCTCGTCGGGTTCCACGCCTTCCATCTCTAAGAGCCGGAAGAGCTCCACTCCTCGAGCGCAGTGGATGGAATCTCCGTAGGCCTGGATCATGGTGTTCCAGGAAACCAAGTTTCGTTCCGGCATTGTGTCGAAAGTGAAGACCGCTGTGGCGAGGAGGCCATTTTGAGCGTAGACGAAAACGATTGCGGTCCATGCAACCACGTCTTTCTCGGGCATTCCATCGAATATACGCTTTGCGGAGGAGAGATGCCTGTTCTGGGCATATGCTGTCACCATACTACTCCAGGAGATAACGTCGCGCACAGGCATGGTGTCAAACACTGTTTTAGCCTCTTCCAAATCTCCGGAAGCCACAAAAGCATGGAGCATTGCATTCCAGGAGACGTCGTCTTGCTCGGGCATGGAGTGGAATATCCTCTTCGCGGATGCTAGATGCCCTTCCAGGGCATATGCTTGGAGCATGACTGTCCACGTGGCTATGTCCCTGTAAGGCATTCGGCCAAACAGAGATTCGCATTCGTTGAGCTGGCGGTGCTGGGAATATGTTCTAAGCATTGCGTTACACAGGAACGTGTCCGGACACAAAACACTGTGAAAGATTCTTTTGGCTGATGCCAGATCCCCGGCTTGAGAATATGCCAGGATCATGCAGTGGAGGGTGAGTGCGTTGGGCTCTCGCATTTTCTCAAAGAGTTTCCCTGCCTGATCAAGATGCCCATGACCTACATAAGCTTGAATCATGGCAGTCCAGGTTACCACGTTCCGCTGGGGCATTTTGTCGAAAAGATTCCGCGCGAGTTTGAGATACCCTGCTTGGGCATATGCTTGCAGCATCGCGTTCCACGCGACATTGTTTTTCTTTGGCATTTGATCGAACAATTCCTTTGCCATGTGAAGATCCCCGGCGTGGGAATATGCTGTCAGCATTGCCGTCCATGAGACGACGTCCCTCTCGGGCATTGCATCGAAGATCCTCTTGGAGTCTTGCAGATGCCCTCTTTGGGCATATGCCGTGAGGAGGATATTCCAGGAGAAGCCGTTAGGGTGGTCGATGGATTCGAACACGCGACGTGCCTCCTCGAGGCTCCCGCAAGCGCCATACATTTGGATCATACGGTTGTGAAGGTATTTGCTCCTGCTGTGGAGTTTGCTTCCCAGAATTTGCGCGTGGACTTCTCGAGCTCGCGACAGATCTCTCGAGACAGTGGCGGATTTGATCAGCGATTCTAGACAAGACTCGGTCTCGATTCCCATAAGACCATGAGAGAAAAAATCTTCCTAATTCTATGCTTAAAATTTCCATCATTGGATCTTTCTTTTTCCTTGACAAGCAAAATTTATAAAATGCCCAGCGTGGAATCGCTGGGTAACAACGCAAACGTATGTCACGTTGCAGTCATGATGGGAGGGTTGGGGCCACACGGATTCGAACCGATGAAGCGCATTTCAAACCCTTCCAACGGCTGCATTTTGCGCCGGGTACACGTGGCCGGCTGGATGTTACGCGCCGACGAATATTCCCCCGTCGTCGCAGTTTTCGCCGAGGAGATTCCGGCTCAGACAGTGTAAGGTGGGGAGGAATGACGATGGCGGGCTTCTTCTTGAGCCCTAGGATTCCAGGGCATGCGTCTGTGGGAGAGGAGCAAGGAGGAGCGTTGCTGGATCGCTGCGATTCGTCGCGATCTCTGTGAGGTATTGTGATAATCAAGCTCCGGCGCCTCGAAATCGGCGATCGATCGGCGGATCGCGAGCCCGGAATGGCGGCATTGACACCGGGCGTGCTGATCAAGCTCTTGCAATCCATCGAGTCGGATGTGAAGCTGGGCGGGCAGTATCGTTCGGTTTTGCTCCAGGTCGTGGGGATCGTCCCGGCGCTGGCGGGCAGTGATCTGTGGCACAACCAGGGGTTTTACATCAAAGTCTCGGATTCCTCGCATGCGACCTACGTGTCTCTCGCCGAGGAGGACGACGATCTCATACTGAGCGATCGTCTCCAGCTGGGGCAGTTCATTCACGTCGATAAGCTCGAGCACGCATTGCCAGTTCCGGTTCTTCGTGGTGTGAGACCGCTCCCTGGCCGACACAAGTGCGTGGGTGATCCGGAGGACCTCGTCATGTCATCCTCGGGAGGAAGAAATCCTCCCCACTTCCAGTCCTTCCTCCAAGAGAAGGATTTCCCGAGCAAGTCCGACTCTTCGTCATCGAGCAGTGGAAGCGGAGGAGGATACTCTTCCGGTCACAAGGTGGCGAGAGGGTATAACCGGTCGTCCGCGGAGACCTTTGCTGCCAAGCTTGCGGAGCGTCTCTCACAAAAGCCTCTCGAGCCTGATTCGTGCGAGGAGATAGACGAAGAGAGACAGGCGAAGCATGAGGAACAAAGGGGCCGTTCGAAGGGAAGAATTGTCAAGTCGAGGGTGTTTGACTCCATTCCAAGCCCGAGGACTGGCGCTCGTTCTATGTCTACTTCGCCAATGCGACGCCATTCCGCGACTGATAAGGAGTCGCCTAGACCACGGAGACGTGCTTCCGACGTTCCCGTTTTGACATCTCCTCGGACCAGGCAGCCGTCCCCTGTGAGCAAGAGATCATCGAGCACAAGCAAGGTTCATAAAGTTGACAGCAACAAGAGGAAGTCACTCGGCGGCGGTGGAGTGAAGTTGAGCGATCTGGTTGCTGCTGGTTCCAGGACACTGCGCAAAAGCTGGGAGGGTGCATTTGCTCAGAAGGAGGCCAGAACTGCAACGGTGAAGCAATCAAAACCTGACTTGAAGGTAAGCTCTTTGGATTTTTGCGGGTCTTCATTGAAGTGTGGCACTTTCAACAGATTTCCATTCCAATTATTTCTAGTAGCAGAAACCAGGACAAGGGATTGCTGTCGCCGCAGGGGGATTCTCTTAAGCCTCCCATGAAGGTACAAATTAGCGCCAAAACTGCGACGACTTTTCCTCCCGATGGGGCTAGCGTGTCTTGGGACGATCTACCGGTTAGCTTGGCTAACTTTGCAAAGGTGAGCAGCTCTCAAGGTTCTTGACTGCATGTAACTGTTGTTTTTAAGGATGCAATGCAAAGGAGAAATGCGGCGTCGTTGGCAGCGGTAGCAGCTCTTCAAGAAGCATCGGCGGCGGAAGCAGTCATACGTAGTTTGAAGTAAGCGCAAACATTTTTTCTCTCCTTACACCTCCTTTATTTCTTTTTGGCAGTATGTTTGTAGAGATACGTCATCTTTCCAGACCGGAGAGACCTCAACCAACCGTAGAGAAGTTTCTGAACTTCCACAGATCACTTGAGCAGGCTTCTGCCGTCGCAGAAGCGCTACTCGTGAATCAGCAAGCTGTCTCCACTCCAGAGAAGCAGTCAGGAGGGAAGATAAACTTTTCAAATGCTTTGTTCGAGGAGAAGGCAAAGAATGCGAAGAACTGGGTGGAGTCAGCATTGGCATGTGACTTATCGGCGTTCTCAATGCACTGCAAAGGCCAGGCCAGCAAGCTGACGGCCAAAGATATGGTGCATCCGGTTATTGTCGTGGAAGGAAACTCGGTTAAGCCCCGCGTCCTGTCTTCGTCGGTCACTCCAGTGAAGCAGCCTGCGACTTTGGCCGCGTCACCTCGAAGAGCGCTATCCTCAGTCACCCCGACAGCCAACGAGAAGAAAGACAATTCAAGGACCGCGTCTCCGTTGAAGGCTACGTCGGCATTTGTCCGCAGGAATCTCACCGGGGGTGTGAAAGGAAAAACTTCCAGTGTTGGAGAGACGGTTTGGAACAAGGGGGACGGAGTGAAGGAGACGGCTGACTTGGCCAAGATGACCCGGTTCGAATCGCAGTGCTGGTTCCTCAAGTTCATGGAGGAGGCACTGGACAAAGGCTTCCGCTCGGAGATAAAGCAGGAGCTGGAGAACAGCCAGTTAGCAGCGATATTGTCACAGCTCAAAAGGGTCAACGACTGGCTGGATCAGGTTGCATCGGAGAAAGAAGACGTCCCGGATCTACATCTTGTAGAGACGCTGGCCAGATTGAAGCGGAAGATCTACGAGTTTTTGATCAAGCACGTTGAGTCTGCTGCTTGTGCACTGGGCAGCAGGAGCAAGGCCAGCTCCTAGTTGAGCAAAACAGATTTTATCAAAGTTTTCTTTTCTGTTTCCAAGTTTTTTACCGAGTTTTTGTTGCTGATAGCGATTTTGTTTGTAAGGTTGTCCGGTGCTATGGCTTTCAGCCTGTGCAACCGGCTTCCTTGTGCTGACGGGGTGAGGTGGTATTGCAGGAGAGATGATCACAGCTCAACCAGGCCTGTGCGAATTGCCTCTGCTATTGCTGGTTCCGTGACGAACAGTGTCGAGCAACAAGGAAGAGGGTATGTTTCGCGTCTTTCCTATTCTGTTATAGTGATCGTTTCTCGTTTTCCAGCTTCCGGTTTCAGCTTTCAATTGGTGCTAAAGTCATTCCTCATCCTGACAAGGCAAGCGTTCCTTCTTGTTGGCTTTCTCTAAGTTTTCAGTACATTCAAAACAGGTGGAGAAAGGAGGAGAGGATGCATTTTTCATCAGTGACTTCGATGGTGGTGTGTTCGGTATCGCAGATGGTGTTTCTGGGTGAGTAAAAATTTCCATGTACGCTTTCTTACTTTATCACTATGTGATAGATGGGCCGAGGAGAATGTCGACCCTGCATTATTTTCGAAAGAGCTGGTCAATCACTTGGCAGAAAGTGTAACTTCGGAAGAGGTATTGCGTAAGGGATGTTTTTTCCTTTTAAGTAATCGTTGGAATAGGTTCCAGGCGACCCAAAGGTGCTCCTTGGCAAAGCACACGCCGCAACGTCGTCAAAGGGAGCTGCTACAGCGTAAGTAACTGGTTTATAAAAAATTACTTGCTTCAACTTGTAGCTCCAAAGCATGCAGCATTGTAGCTACTCTGTTAGGAGCAGAAGGCCTCCTGAGAGTTGCGAGCGTTGGGGATTGTGGCCTGAGACTTGTGCGTGATGGTAATGCTCGCCGGTTTAGTTTTCTAGAAATGAAATCCCTGGCTTCTTTTCTGCAGGAAAGGTAGTGTTCGCAACCTCTCCTCAACAGCACTACTTCGATTGCCCGTACCAGTTCTCGTCCGAAGTTGGAGGCCAAACGGCCGAAGATTCTGCGGTAAATTATTTTCTGCAATCCCAGCAAGCTCACTCTTCGTATTTTCAGGTCCATGAAATAACAATCGTGGCCGGGGACGTTGTTGTGATGGGATCTGATGGTCTCTTTGATAATGTTTTCGATCGCGACATAGCGGCAACAGTGACTTTGTTCCAAGTCACGGATGTAGAATCAGCTGAAAGAACGGGTACATTGGTCTTTCTCTATTGAGTTCTTAACTTGGTTTCGTGCTTTCAGCGACAGCGCTAGCCACCATGGCGAATAGGAATTCGAGGGATCCCAAGTATGAATCCCCTTACAGCACCGAGGCTATATATCAGGTTCTAAGTTTCATATGATGGTATTCTCCTCCCAGCTCGTTGTTATGCAGGGCTTTGACGTGCCAATATGGCGCAAGCTTCTCGGTGAAAAACTTACAGGTCGGAAGTAATCCTTGGAATCATTTATCTGGTTTGTGATCCTAACAGGCTTCTTTGTTTCTTTCTCTTTCGCAGGTGGAAAGCTAGATGATATAACGGTTCTCGTGGGAGCGGTGGCAGTGACCGAGATTGTAGAGGTGGAGGGCGAAAAGGACGAGCAATCCCAAAGCTCTTTCCAAAAATCGGAAACTCACGACGGCAGCAGCTCGGAAGAAGCTGTTGTTACAAACGAAGGAATTTAATTCTTCTTGTTTCATATACTACATTTCTTGGCTTTAGCCATGGTTTGTGCCAATTCCCTTCGTAGCAGAGGTAAGCTCCCAAACTGAGCATATATTCTAATGCGCTTTGGCGCTCCTTTTCCCTTTTCAGCTGACACTGAAAGCGTTGGTCGCGAGAGAAAGAACCATTTTCAATCTCTTGGGGGTTTTGGTATCTTTTCAAAACAGCTCACTTTTTTTCTCCTTTTTTTTCATGTAACAGAAAGGGTGCTGCTTGCAATATTTTGAGCTGATAGATATTGTTCTACTCAGTGCTATGATCATAGTTTTGGCTGTTCTTTTTAAACACTCGTACGGCAACTTCTCACTCGTACGGGTATTGCTGTAAACCCTAAACCCTGCCAAGCCGCCATTGCGAAGACCAGGCTCTCTATGGGGGAGGTGCCGCAGGTGGAGCGCTAGGATCACGAAATATGCCGCTGGAGGCGCGGCATTCGTCGTTGCGAGGTCACGGCGCGACGATTGATCCGGCATTGCGATTCTAGGTTTGTGCTCACTGGCGCTGCTGCTGGAAACCTCTTCCTCTGCGGTGCCCGGAGTTGCTGCTGCCTCAGGTACTGTGATTCTTGCTGCAAACATCTGCTCAAGGTTTTCTTTGCTCGGGCGATCGAGCGAGAGCAGCGGTAGCAGCGGCGGGGGATTTCAAGGGTGCATGCGTCACAAGGCACGAGAGCTTAAGCCGCGCCGTCATGTGGAGAGCAGCCGGCGGGCGGCTCAAGCACAGGGGACTTAGAACAGGACGAGCAGACTTCTATCGATGGAACACCACAGCTGCCGGGCCAGAGAGCTTTCACGAGCTCACAGATTTGAGCTTGCACATCCACGCTAGCACAGCTTACAGTCAGCTACGCAGCAGCGATAGAAGCCGTCCCTGCAGCTACTCGGCGGCGGCGGCTCCTCTCGAGCACAGCTTGACAACTTTGGACGCGGCACTGAGCAGTGTGATCCAGCTCCCGCTCTTCAGCAATCCACTGCTTCAAATCCTCCCTCCCGACGGGGAGAGCTCGTCCAGGACGGTGTTTCGGATCGACCAGAAATGGCCTTTCCAGCTCAAGGCGGTCGCTACCGAGGCGTGTTTCGGAGAGGAGGAGGAGGTCTGTGTTCTTCCGGAACTGGAAGAGATTCACGACATCTCCCTCGAGAGGTCTTCCAAGTTTGAAGGTGGCAAGGCTCTCAAGGCGGCTAGAGCTAGAGCAAGGCGGCTTTTCAACAGGCAGCAGAAGCTCGAGCTGGATGCTTGGGATGCTGCGGTGAGGGAGTACAGGAAGATTCTCGTGGAGATGTGCCGGAAGAAGCTAGCGCCGAATCTGCCGTTTGCAAAGTCTTTGATGGTCAGCTGGTTTGAGCCGGTTCGCGACGAGATTGCAAAGGAGCTCAAGGCCATCGAGAAGGAGGAGCCTGGTGAAGACAGGAGTCACTATGGACCACTTTTGAAAGGAGCTGGCCTCACTGCTGATGTTCTTGCGGTGATCACGATGCACAGGCTCGTCGCGCTGATGATGCAAGACGTTGATAGCGGATGCATTAGACTTGCAAACACTGCTGTTCTTATTGGTGACGCAGTGGAACAAGAGGTATGTCAACTTCGAGTTTTACAATTATAATCCTCACGTTTTGTTTTCCTCTAGATCAAAATCCGCAGGGCACTAAAGAAAAGAAAGCCGAAAGAACTTGCCGAGGAGGCGGAGCCTCCTACTCCAGAAGAAGAGAAGAAAGAGTACTTGAAGGACAAGCTGAGGAGAGCTATCATAGAAAGGCCCAGGAATGTCAAGGAGATATTGAAGTCCTTGGATCCATCACAGCCCTGGCCGTCGTTTATTCAAGCTAAAGTACGTAAGTTTTCATGTTTTGATTCGTTTTGTTGAAATGAACCTGTGTAACACATGCAGTTGGGATGCCGCCTTATCGACATTATGATGTCAAATTCACACATCAATGTTCCAGTAAGTGACTGTCCCGAAGATGGCACCGAGATTCGGCCTGCTTTTAGACATGTACTCAAGGTACCAAAGGGAGGGTAAGCGTCATCCACATTTTCTAAAAATCAAACAATTTATTCATATTTCTTTTCCTTCGCATACAGGCTTCTGCGTAGCTACGGAGCAATAGTATGCGATCCTCATTTGAGGGGTCGAATCGATGACTCGGTATTTCAGCTGTTGAGTTTTTGTTGCCAGAGCTGATCGTTCTTTTTCCACAGGCCAAATTTATAGTTATGCCATACATGCCCATGCTAATTCCTCCTCGAGCTTGGAAAGGGTAAATACGTTTTATTCGCATTCTGTTTCTTCTAAATATTTTACATTCTTTAGTTATCACAATGGAGCATACCTGCACCTGCGGTCCGTTATAATGCGGACACACGGTTCTAAACAGCAAAGAGAAGCTGTGCGAAACACACCAAGAGCACAACTGCAGCAAGTTTTTCGGGTATCTGTGAAGCCTCAAAATATCTTTATTTAACAAACTTTTTCTTAGGCACTCGACACCTTGGGAGCGGCATCCTGGAAAATTAACAAGGAGGTTTTTGAAGTTATAGAAAAGCTTTGGAGCGCGGGAGGTGGAATAGGTGGCCTTGTGGACCGAAAAGATGTGAGTGATGAATATGTTTTGTCTCATTTATGCGAGCCGTGCGTGATCTTTTAGGTGCCATTGCCACCCAAGCCTAATACCGAGGATGAAGCTGAGATGAGGAGCTGGAGGAAAGTTTTTTATAAAGGTAAGCGCACAAACAGTGAGCGGAATTCTCAACGGTGCGATCTCGAGCTGAAGCTGGCGGTATGTTTTACTTGTCGCTCTGTTTTGTTTTTTTTCTCTCTCTCTCTCTGAAAGGTGTTTGCAGGTTGCTCGATCACTGAAGGACGAAGAATGTTTCTATTATCCACATAATTTGGACTTTCGTGGTCGTGCCTATCCTATGCATGCGCATTTGAACCATTTGGGTTCTGATGTGTGCCGCGGTATGTTACTGTTTGCTAAGGGACGTCCTCTAGGACCGACAGGTCTACGTTGGCTCAAGATACACATTGCCAATGTCTTCGCTAATGGAGCTGATAAGCTACCCTTCGATGGAAGGGTGGCATTTGCAGAGAGTAACTTGGAACACGTTGTAGCTTCTGCAAATCAGCCTTTGAAAAATCGTTGGTGGTTAAAAGCGGAAGATCCATTCCAGTGCTTAGCTGCGTGCATCGACCTGAGAAATGCGATGCATTCTCCAAACCCGGAGTACTACATTTCTCATCTTCCAGTTCATCAGGTACTCGAGCATTTCCTAATGACTGATTTCGATTTCGTGTCCTACGTTTAGGATGGATCTTGCAACGGTCTCCAACACTATGCAGCTCTTGGACGGGACAAAGTAAGTCGCCCATTTTGATACTTGGATATATCGCTTATGATCTGACGACTTGCAGACTGGCGCCAGAGCAGTGAACTTAATAGGCGCGGATTATCCTGCAGATGTATATTCAGGCATAGCCGCCCGGTATAGCGTTTGAACAACTGCAAGATTCTTGGTTACTGATAAGAGTTTTGTTTGATCAGTGTACGTACACTAGTTGAGGAGGACGCACGCAAAGATCCAGCCGCAGTTTATGCCAAATTATTAGTAGGACATGTGAGTATCCATTTCGGTTTTCTTTACTTTTCTCATCAATTCTTCGGTCACAGGTGGATAGGAAACTAGTGAAACAGACAGTGATGACTTCGGTTTACGGCGTGACATACGTTGGAGCACGTAACCAAATAACAAACAGACTTAGGGACAAGGGCTTCATATTAGATGAGCCGACCTTGTACCGTACTGGTTGCTACGCTGCTAAGGTATCATCTCTCAAAAACTTTCCTTTTACTTTCAAGCTTTTCTAACTGTTCATGCTCCGATAGGTAACTCTGAACGCGCTTGGCGAAATGTTTGGCGAGGCAAGGCTTATTATGAATTGGCTAGGCCAGTGCGCAAAGGTATCTCCAGGTTTTTGTTAAGAGACTCCTCTCGAGTTCCACTGTTGCAGGTAATTGCCAACGACGGTGACTCCGTGAGGTGGATCACTCCTTTGGGACTTCCTGTCGTGCAACCATACCGCAGGCCCGGGAGACATGTGGTATGCGATCATATACTTTGACGTTCCACCATCTTCTCGTTGGCTCACATGATTGATTTCCTTCGCAAGGTGAAAACTTGTCTCCAATGTCTTATTCTAAGAACGGATACGGATCAACCGGTATGGTTCCAGTTTTCTCTTATCTTTCACGTTTCTGATCGCTTGACTCTTACTCAAAACCAGGTGTTGGCAGCGAGGCAGCGCAGCGCGTTCCCACCAAATTTTGTGCATTCCATGGATGGGTCGCATATGATGATGACCGCCGTGGCGTGCCAGGAGGCCGGGCTCACCTTCGCAGGTACTTCAAATTTTCTCCAGTTCTACTCGAAGCACGAAGAACAAAACCCGATTTTTTCTCATGCACAGGAGTCCATGACTCGTTTTGGACGCATGCCGGAGACGTGGAGCGCATGAACGTCATACTGAGGGAGAAATTCGTGGAGCTCTACGAGCAGCCAATTCTAGAAAACGTAAGGCTCGTCTCTCTCACGTTATAGTGCCATGGATCCAACGATTTTTTCTTTTTCCCTTGCAGTTGCTAGAGAGTTTCCAGAAACGTTGGCCCAAGCTTAAATTTCCAGATCTCCCCGTGCGTGGGGATTTAGATCTCAAGGAAGTTTTATCGTCGCCGTATTTTTTCAACTAAAAGCAAGCGAACGATCTTCTGCTCGTATATTATATTATACATATATAAACGAATGCCGGGTGCTGTGAGCAATGACGTGGCACGCGCCCATTGGTCGGGCCACCTATGGCCCGCATTGTGATTGGCCGGATGTCTTGAACCTAAAAGAGGCCTAAAAGAGGCCGCCTTTAATCCTGATCTGTTAGAAGCACTGCGGCTTTAAATCCAGGGTTTTGGAGCTAGGGTTTACAGCGATGGAGGCTCGGTGCGCGTCTTCCGTCTTTCTGCTGCTCCTTCTTTCCAGCCTTTGCCACGCGAAGGTCTTCTTTGAGGAGAGATTCGATGGTAATTTCGATCCAGCGGCATTCTCTCGATCTGTTGGTCAGATTGATGATCTTGTGTGTGTAAATTCTAGATTCTTGGGAGAGCCGCTGGGTGAAATCCGACTGGAAGAAGAGTGAAGATGCCGCTGGCGAGTGGATCCACACCGCCGGCAAGTGGTTTGGCGATGCGGAGGCAGACAAAGGTACCCATTGGGTTTTGTGAAGGGAGATTTGTGTTACAGCTCCCGCTTTACAGGCATCCAGACGTCTCCAGACGCGCGCTTCTACGCAATCTCGGCCGAGTTCCCAGAGTTCAGTAACAAGGACAAGACTCTGGTTGTCCAATTCTCCGTTAAGCACGAGCAAAATCTCGATTGCGGAGGTGGATACATCAAAATTCTGGGTGGAGATGTGGATCAAAAGACTTTTGGTGGTGATACACCTTACAGGTATTCTTTTTCTTCTTTTTATTTGGAAATCTTGCTCATGGTTTGTTCGTGGGCTATTTCCTTACAGTATTATGTTTGGACCGGACATTTGTGGGTCGGGCACGAAGAAAACCCACGCCATTATTGCTTACAATGCAAGCAACCATCAAATGAAAAAGGAAGTGCCATGCGAAACAGACCAGCTCACTCACGTCTACACTCTGGTTATTCGTCCCGATTCTACGTACAGCATTTTGATCGACAATGTAGAGAAGAAGAAGGGAAGCATTGAGAGCGACTGGAGTCTTTTGCCGCCAAAGAAGATCAAGGATCCCGAGGCCAAGAAGGTCTGCTTTTTTCTGTTCGTTTCTGAGTAGTAACGTATGCTCTTGTTGGCAGCCCGAGGATTGGGTTGATGATGAATTCATTGTTGACCCGGAAGACAAGAAACCAGAGGTAACGTTCTACATAGCCGAGTTGTGGACTTTACACCGCTGAGTTTCTCTTTCTTTCTTCTCAGGGTTATGATGACATTCCAGCAGAGATTCCCGATGCTGAGGCTGAAAAGGTAAAAGATTTTAGCTTTGTTTTGTGTATGTATCTTATCTTGTCTTTCTCATTTCACAGCCCGAAGGATGGGATGACGAGGAGGACGGTGTGTGGACTCCTCCGACGATTCCAAATCCCGAATACAAGGGCCCCTGGGAACCGAAGGTACTGATGAAAACTTTTTTTTACTCTTGAGTAATTTTTCGTTCCCTCTGTAGAAAATCAAGAATCCTGCTTTCAAGGGAAAGTGGAAGGCTCCAATGATTGACAATCCTGGTAGGTTAATCAGCAACATTTCCAGAGGTGATAAATTGACGAGCTCTTTTATTGTAATAGATTACAAGCCAGACCCAGAGCTATACGTCTTCCCTTCATTGAAATACGTTGGAATTGAACTCTGGCAGGCAAGACAGTGTTGTCCGGTTTGTTGTCCGGTTTACGTGACTCCTCCTGTTGAACTGCAGGTCAAGTCAGGATCTCTCTTTGACAACATTCTCGTAAGCGACGATGTCGATTATGCCAAGGCCCTGGCGGAGGAGACATGGGGAAAGAGCAGGGAGGCCGAGAAGAAAGCATTCGAGGAAGCACAGAAAAAGGTAAAGGATCCTTGCGACCAAAATTATATTGTTTAAATTGACTTGGGTGTCCCGTCTTTAGGATGAACCGCCGGCCGACGACGACGACGACGAGGTAAAGAAAAAGAGCCCTCCATGGTATTGATCTTGTCACTTTGCAGGACGACTCGGATGTCAAGGAGGACAAGGAAGAGGACACAGAAGACACAAAGGAGCATGTAAGCATCCTCTATATTCATTCGGTAGCCGTGTGTGTTCACAATCTGCTTGTGTTCTTTCAGGACGAGCTTTGAGGTTTTCGTTTTTCGCTTGAAGAGACGTTGGCGTAGAGGGACATCGGGGCACAAAAAGAACATTTTTTCCCCATATCTGACATTTCCGGATTGCAATTGCTTTCCAAGCAGTAATTCCAATTAATCGTATGAAAAGTTTGTTTTTTTAAATTAATTTTATTCAAGAATATTCTAGAAGGATGTTTCCAGGATGCAAAGAAAGCCAGCCTAAGTAGCAGTGCATTGTGAAGGTTCTTCTGGTGATTGTTCATAATTTTATTGTTCTTCTGATTCTCAAACTTTGATATAATGTTTCTATATCACTGTTGGTTGAATGATTTGGTTATCGTTTAAAATTCCGCACTTAGAAAGTGTTGCTTGCAAGTGGCGGTACCACCACGGGGCTTTGAAGGACAAATTGCACGTGTGTATTTAACGGATGCAAGTTTTTGAGAATGAGTGCGGTTTGCAAAATGAAGGCAGTTGCAATGCCGTCGTTTTTGATTTTGCTTACTGCTCTCTGTGTGAATGGGCAAGCGACTGCTCCGACCATCAAAAGTATCTTCGGTTCCTTCGATCAAATTGGAGATATTGTTTCGAAGTTTAATTTCTCCCAGGTATGTAGACTTTGTCGTTCAGATACAAGTCTTTTACTGAGTTTACCCTTTGCAGACTGATTCTTCTGGTCAAGGCTCCCTATATGTTGCCTTAGCTCCAGCTTTTGGCGATCTGAATGCAGAAACTATAAAGAGTCTGGGCACCAATCTCTTGATTTCTATTGCTGGAACAAACAGGGTGATTTCGAAGTTGGATGGCACAGCACGTACATGGAGCAAAGTAGAGTCGGTCATGTCGCAGAATCCGTTCCTTGAGCCAGTAGATGCAGGAATCAGAAGGTCAGACAAGTATATAAGAGACGACACAAACTACTTCCAGTTTGATAAATCTCTGCGACCTGAAGTTTGCCAGGAGGTAAAGCAGCTTAATCCTTGTCTCATGTTGAAATTGTATTATATAATTGTTCTTCCCTTGAACAGCTGAAGACATGGTTCTTTGAGAAACTTATCCAGGACAATGACGTACTTGCTTCTACCAGGATTCAATCTGATGCACTCCCTCAGATTGTGGCATATGCAGGCTCTGCTGTTCCGAAGTTCTTAACAATCTACAAGCACAAGTATCATGAGAAGACCCTGGTTGATATTGGTGTGCTGAGATATCCAGACTCCATAGATAAACTCTTTAAGGTTAGCAGGAAACTTTGATATAACATTGCCATTAACGTTTTTTATTTCATTTTGTGATATAGTTGTACCATCTGCAGCTGACTGTTTGGGCTGATAGCACGCTCGTCTTAGGTGTGGAAAAGGAAACTAATGGCATTACTGGAGGTAACCATGTACTTTAGTCATTTTGTTTGCCTCTATTGTGTTGTTTATGTTGTGCAGAGTTTTCCTACCGCAAGTTTAAACCGAGAATAAGCGTCATATCTGGGATGAGGAAGGAAATTCAGGCAAAGGCTGCTAACGAAGCCAAATCCATGTTCACAATTTGAAAACTATGTACTGATATTCAAAATATACATAAACTCATAACGAACCGAATAAACATTGCTATATAAATTCTGGAAATGTTTGTTTTTTATTTTATATATATATATATATATATATATATATATATATATATATATATATATATATATATATATATATATATATATATATATATATATATATATATATATATATATATATATATATATCATATATATATATATATATATACATATATATATATACATATATATATATATATATATATATAGATAAATATATATATATCTATATATATATATATACATATATATATATATATATATATTCAATTTATCATTAGTGATTTCACAATCACAATTGCGTTATGTGTGTTATGGTAACTGCAGTTGTTTAAATTTCTTAATGAAGCGCATAAATAAATAAAACAGCTTCTATAGAATATTTTCTTCTTGATTTTCTTTGTTTTCACAAGATTGTAAATTTAAGTTCGTTTTCACAAGATACTCCACTATTACTATGGCTCTATGTTGGGAATAACTATTTTGTCCATTACCATTACTGTTGCTCTATGTTGGGAATAATTATTCTGTCCATTGAAGTTGTTGGAGAATTTGAACAATTTGAGTCAGACAGTCACTACTAATAGTACTACCACTAGGGTATGCTTGCCTTATAAATACTTAGGTTGCTTGATTTATTTTGGCAAGAGTGCCATCCATCATGGGTAAGCTCATTCCACTTGTTGCTTTTATGAGCTTTGTCTTGAGCGCAAATGCCCAGTTTCAGCTGATCCCTACAATTGTGAGTATCTTTGGTGGATTAGACCCAATTGGCAATATCATCCAGCATTTTGACTTCAGCAAGGTGATGCATTTAGTTTTAGCTAGCATTTGACTAATGGCTATACATGACAGGTCAACATTGTCGACTCAACTGTCCAGGACTATCTTAACATCGGATTGGCTCCTGCATATGGGACACTCAGCACGGATGAAGTCAAATTCATGGATGACCATTTGAAGGTCATGATAGCAGGAGTTCATGTGCAACTCGGCAAGTTATCACATAATGAACGTACATGGGATAAAGTTCAATCACTCTTTCTGCAAAACCCCGTGCTTGAGCCACTCAGTGATCTTACTACAAGAGCTACTAAATATACAAAGGATGACACTTACTGGCTCAACACGGATGGATCGCCTAGACAGACTGTGATGAATGAGGTAAATGTTCTATGTTCGAGTTTCATAATTATTTCTTATCTTTGAGTCTACAGGTCAAGAGTTGGTTCACAGAACTGATAGCAGATGCTGACATCCTCAACTCCACACGCATTGATATCAATATTATGGGTAGAATTGTTGCTCACACGGGTACAAACATCGAGAACATTATAAATTTGTTCTACCAGCATGAATACCATGAAAAAACTATGCTTGAGATAGGAGTGCTCAGATATCCTGATATAGAACACCCCTACTTCAAGGTTAGTAAAACAGCTTTTAAAGGATTTTTCTTTTTGTTGAACTTCTTAATTCAGGTGTACCGTATCAAACTTTCTGCGTGGTCTGATTGCCGTCGATACGTAATACATGAAAGTAACACAAATGGCATTTCCGGAGGTATTACTTGTTGACTTGTCCTCCCGACGTTACATTAACTTTCGTTGACTGGCTTGTAGAATTCAACATGCGAAAATTTAAACCAAGAAAGAGTGTCATAGATCAACTCAGCCCCAAAGCTACGCAGACTGCAGTGTGCGGTGCTGAATGCATGTTTGATCCTACCAACTGTGGTAATTGCAAACAGACAGCTAGTTTCAACCATAACATCGCTAAGCACAAAGCTATCACTTCCAAGAACAAGTTTGTTCAGAAAGCTGAAGAGATGTTTGCTCCATACTATTGATCATGAAGAATGATTAATAAATATATACAATCTTAATGGAATGACCAGGACTTGCTCCAAATGTTGTTTCAAATGATAATTGCAGTATTTCCACTGGAGCTTCTTTTATTACTACTGATTGTGTGGCATAGTCAATGTACACCTCAATTAGACAGCAATATGTTTTTGATGGGCAATGAAAATGAAAAACCATGAGAAGCAAATGCTATGTGATCAGAGCCGAATTAAAGCTCATTCGTCCTGTAGTGAAGACTGGTTCTTCCTTTTGTGGGAGTAAACGTTGGGCATCAAGCGAGGTGCAGAGCTCAAGGAACATAGAATTTACAAAAGATTGTTAGCAATCCATAAGTGTAGTGAGAGTGGGAAATGTTTCAACTCAAGTGTGGGACCACTCATCTCTTGGGTGGATTTTGTGCTAGAGTCTATGTTTGGCTCACTTCTAAGGCACTCGTAATTTTCTTGTATTTTAATTGTGCAGCTTAAAAACATGCAAGACTCTCCTAGCATGCTTGAACTTCATCGTCAGCAACAGCAGCAACCTTTCTCGTCAACCTAGGCCTCACCTCCGCACTGTAGAACTTGGCGGACCTCAAGCTGGCGATGGCACACCCAAACAGATAGGTGGCGACCATGACGAAGAACGTTTCCCTGTAGCACTTGGCACCGTGGCACAGCAAGGCCTCGTCAATCGGTATTTCCTGGCTTGCCAATCGTGTAGTCCTTCCCTCTCGCCGGAACTTGTAATCATCTGTGGCTGCCAGCGGCCGGAAGCTTGAGAAGGAGAATGGTCGACGACTTGCAGAGAACTAGGCGAGGAACTCATATCCGCGAGCTGAGCTTCAGAGTTATGAGATGGCGGTATGCTTTCGACAGCACCAGCACTGGCTCTTCCGCTCGAGGTACGTCTTACATCTTTTTTCTTTTGACTCAATGTATTAAACCATGCATTTTCTCTATTTGCTCTTGGGAGGCTATTTTCCTTTTCACGGCATCAGGACTAACCAGAGATCCAAGAAAGCCTTGAAACGTAAGCAAATCTAGCTTTGGAACCAACCACAGCCAGAGAAGCGGCCCAGCCGCACCCAGCGCTCGCGCCCCCCGACAAGGAGGTCTGTTGGAGCTACCTAGGCTCTCCATGTAAATATGAGAAGGAATTTGAGAAGGAAAAGCATTGTCATTGTCAGATAATATTCATTCATTCATTAGCTGTTTACGGGGTCTCGTGGCGCCCACCAAGAAGCCAATATTCTGCCAAAAACAAACCTTTTCATTTCTTAAACAACATCTATCAATAAGAGGTAAAGTGCAGACCTGTCAACATTAAGCTCAATCCCACGTATTCCAGAGTAAACTCCTAGCTCTGGTACGTTATAACTCCTACATGAACCAAGCAAGCAAATCCAGTCATCTGCAATTGGCTTAAAAGGCATCTCTTCAATCATAGTGCAAGCTTCATGCAAGAAACCCGAACGAGCTAACAAATCCACCATACAGTGGTAGTGTTGCTTGGTGGCATGGAAATTATAATCTATGAGCATTGACGCAAAGTAGTTTAGACCACAAATTACGTCACCAAGGTGGCTGCAAGAAAAAAACAAGCTGATGAATGTTGCATCATCTGGGTCACAGCCTTCCATCTTCATCTCCATATGTAGGGATATAGCCTCTACAAAGTGCCCATTGTAAGTATTCGCTGCCATTAATACGTTCCAGGAGACAGTGTCTCTAGCTTGCATTCCTCCAAAGAATCTTGTGGAATCGTCCAAGTTCCCAGCATGAGCAGCCAACATCACATTCCAGGACACAAGATTTCTCATCGGCATTATTTGAAAGAGAATCTTGGCTTCCTTTAGATACCCGTTCTGGGCATATCCGTCTAGCATGGAGTTCCAAGACACTAGCGTAAGGTAGTGCATTCCATTAAAGATATCCACGGCATCTTTTAGATGCCCGTTTTGGGCATATGCCGCCATCATGGCTGTGGTAGAAACTATGTCCTGCTGGGGCATGGAATCAAACATGCACTTCGCTTCCACAAGGTGCCCGTTCTGGGCATACAGTGAGAGAAGGATTGTCCACGTTGCCAAGTCACAGTACGACATTGTATAGAAAACGCAACGTGCCTCCTCCACGTCACCAGTGTGACCGTACGCTGCCAGCATGGCATTGTGCGACACTATGTCGTGCTCCGGCATGGTTGAGTAGAGGTTCTTTGCTTCCGCGAAATGGCCCGCCTGGGAAAATGCGTTGAGAAGAGCATTTGTAGAGACGAGGTTTCTCACAGTCATGATTCCAAACCATTGCAGTGCGTCATTAAGGCTGCCATGTTTGATTATTCCTGATAGCATGGAATTCCAGGAAACAACGTCCCAGCAAGGCATTGAGCCGAAGAAGGATCTGGCCTCTTTAAGATGCCCATTGAAGGCATATGCTGCTAGCATGATATTCCTAGAAACCAAGTCGTGTAGGGGCATGGCGTTGAAGAGGTGCCAAGCCTCTGAGACTGTGGCGTGCGTGGAGAAAAGAGCGAGCATTGTTGTCCAGGACACAATGTTTCTTTCTGGCATGGAGTCGAAAAATGACCGAGCTTTGGAGAGATCCCCATTGTATCCAAGTGCTTTCAATTGTAGATTGCCTTCCAAGAGCATGGAAGTTCTCCCTATCATTTATCACCATACCAGCATTTCTCTCAAGAGAAACATAAACTTAGAGCATTGATTGGACAATACAATTGTTTGAATTCAAAATTTTGTTTTACATTCGTTTTCATTTCTTGACAAACCCAAGGTTGTTTTCGGCGGCATAGCGCTCCATGAAGCGCATGAATCTGTCCCACTCGCCAATGTTCCTCATCACGTACTTGGCCTCGATCTTGGCCGGCTTCCCGTTGACAAACTTGGCGCTCACGTCCACGGACTGGAGCACGCCCTCGTCGTCGATCATGTAGATGCCCGTGATCTCTCCCATCTCTCGGGAGGAATCAAACACCGATGGCTGGTCGAAGACGAAGGTGGCCACCCCGTTTCGTTGGTCCTGCGATCGGGTGAGAGAGATGTCCGGGACGACGAGCTCGTCCACGCCACGGATGAATTGGATGCTGGGCTTTACCATGCGCACCACCGGCCTCACTCCGGATCCACTCTGCTGTGTGGCTGCCGCCCACACTGTGCTCAAGAGCTGCCTCGAGCTCGACCTTGTGCCGCCGCCTAGGTGCCATGACGAGAGTGGCTTGAGCTCGCTCCAGTGAGGATTTCGAGAGAGCGATGCGGAGGCGAGGCCTGCACAAATATTCATCACTTAGTTTGGCAGAAGAGTCTCGATCTACAAAAAACTTGCGTTTCACGGAAGAAAACACACAAACTACAATCGAGGAAGAATGAATGGCAATACTCTGGGGAAAGAAAGACTGCCAAGCCAAAGATTCTCTCTAGAATGAAGAGAATGCAGGTGATTGACGACGGGATTTCTGTGACCGAAAGATTCATCCAAGCTCCAAACAAGGATTTCAATCCAAGGAACGTCAAAAGGTGAGGAAGCACTATACCCGCTCGAGAGAGGAGGAATGTTGCTGCGCGGCGGAGCGGGGGAATCCGTGTCCGTCGCTGCCGCTCGCTGGCGATGGATGCGGCGTAGAGCGGCACATAGCGCTGGTGCTGCTGCCTCTGGCCGGTGGACGCAGCCGCCGAGGCCGAGGCGCTCGTCGACATAAGTCTGCTCTGTCTGATCGCTCTCGCCCCATTCCCTACCACACACTGCACACCCGAATCTCGAATATTCTACACATGCTGATTATCCGTTTAATGTTGGCGCGGGTTGAAGGTTCAGGGTCCAGTTCTTATTTAAAAGTTTAACTAATTAATAGATTATGTCAAAATTCTAAATTCTCAATCATGTCTTAGAAGCATCTAAAGATTTAACCAGTAAATTAAACCACTCAAAAAAGCTTTGTATTAAAGAATTAATTTTTGATGTGAAGCAACATTATTTGCTGAAAATTTATTTGATGCAATTAATATTATAATGCAACTATAATAAAAATATAGCTATAACTTATTGTGAATCTATAATGCTACTTTGGAGAGACACCTTTGAAAAGTCTTACAAATGATTAAGTTTTTTTGTTTAACAAGTCGAAGTGTGACTTTCTTAAATGAGGTGGTATTTTAGAAATGACTAACACTACTTGTATAGTAAATTATAAAGTGTTTAAAAAAGTAATTATAGTTTTGTCATTTTCTTTTTCCTTGATGACAACTTTATGACAAAATAAAGGATGATAAGAAAATCCCTTCAACCATTAAAGGAATATTTGACCATAAACATAAGTGCTACATCTATTTAGTATAATCATCTCATAAATCACCAAGCTTTTATTTACAAGTAAATTAAGTTTCTTCACCTCTTTAAAATTTCAGATTGTCTTGAATGCCCCATTTAGCCTTCACAAGCATTAAGCTCTATAGAAATTGTTTCTTGAATTTTTACCATGGGATATGGAAGAGTTATCACAATAGACTCCTAAGTTATATCTACAATGAATTTTGTCATATCACTTTAACATTCTTTTATCCCTTCACAAGAGTATAATTCTTTCCATGATGTCTAGGTTTCTAAAATTGCCTTCTACTTTATCTTTCTTCTATTAGTCTAAATAAAATTTGTTATCCATTCTTTAAGCCTTGACATGGCAATGGTTTTCCTCCTTGAATATAAGATTGATTGATTATCATAATGACTATTCTATTGACTGAGTTGACTAGCAACTTTGATAAAAAGGTCTAAATCTTGATGGAGCTTGGTAATAGTATCAGTGAATATTGTCAAAAAATCCTTCCTAACCTTCTACTTTATTAATATATATTCAGAAAAAGAAATATTAATAAACAAAAATATGTTGGTTTGTGAACTGATATAATCTTATGAAAAACTAAACTAAGTCTACAACCCAAATTTTCTAGTTTTGAAAGCCTAAGAAATTTTCAGTTATTTCAGTGTATTCTAGAGCATAGACCATTCTTGAGCTCATGAGCTAAAGAGTTGAGCTCATGAGTTAAGCTCAATTTTAAATTTTAGTATAATATAAATATTATAAATTTTTAATAAAATTAAGGTTTATGGTGAACTTAATATTTTCACTCTTTACACTTTATATAAATAAAAATGTTTTAGAAGACACTTTTTGTCCAAAAATTTAAATACTTATTGTAGGGAGGTTCGCTATAACATATAATAAAATAAGATTTGTTTGAAAAAAATGTAATCTTGTCAATTCCTTAAATCCGTACTATGTGCTTTCTAGCTTTTAAATATCAACTTTGTAATGAGTTTAAAAATTATTAAATTTGAAATAATATTCTTTTGAAAGGCCATATAACTGTTTTAAAGGGAAAAAACAACCATTAATGTAAACTTGTTACTTATAAAAGAGAGAAAATAGAGACTTAGTTCTTCTTTAGAATACATTTTTAAGGTATTTGTTATAGCATAGTATTTATAATTTATGGATCTTCACTTGTACTCTCTTTCAAAAAGAGGGAAATACACACAAATGTTTGTGAGTTTTAATATTGGTAATTTCAACTTTTACAATATTTCTTCCTATAATAGTAATTCAAGGGCTTAGTGGTACAATACTCATTCTGTTGTGTAAACCACATAAAGATAGAATCACAAATTGGAGAGAAATACAATGATAAAAAGTGAAATAAATTAGGTGTAGAAATTACTTATTTTAGGAAATTACAATTTCATGACTTTTAAGAAGTTCTTTAGATATTTTTGGCTTTCAGTGGAAACAATGGTGATAATTAATATGATGGTGTTTATGCTCTTGTGATACACTGCAACATCACCTAAAAGTGTATAAGATAAAGTATATTTTTTATTAATTATATAAATTATAATAAATTTATATTATTGATAGGGAATAAACAATAATAGACCTAGTTATCTTCAAAAGTCTTTTAAAATTCAGCAATACTAAAGTCTGTCTAATATATATAAATGTTCGCTTTAGAATCTTAGTGTTAGGTGTTAATGAATATGTAATACATATGCTTGTAAAAAGTATATGCCTTCCCATGTTCCTCGTGTTTAGTAAAGTTTGGACATATTTAAAAAGGAAAGTCTTGAATGATAATTATGTATTTTCCACCTTCCATTTTAACTATGCACTCCTTTGCAAGCATAGTGATATATGTTGTGGAAAGAATCTCACACTCAAGCATTAAGCTAAGCTTATTTTACCATATTTTTAAGTGGAGATAGTATCAATAAAATTAAATACCTTATCTTTTCTTACTAACCGTTTATGCATTTTTATAGGAATAGTGTCAATTTTGTCTCTCAAGTCTTAAAATCTTCTCCTCTCAAGATTAAAACTAGATTTTTCAAGGTTTTGAATCTCATCTAAAATGAATACAATTGGCCATTCTTTAGGTATTACTATCACTATACTGTATGATTGCCATTGATGGTGCAGCAATATAGTTAGCACTATTTTGAAAATCTTACTTGCTTTCATTCCCCATAGAAATATGGGGCTGGAACAAAACTAGATTTGTCACCATGGATTGAAGCCTAATAGTTGCCCCTCAAAAACATTTTAATTGGTTAAGGATTTTGGGATATTTAGGTGTTATTGGGTTTAAATAGTATTAGGCTGAGTGATTTCTTATGAAGTCTAAATTTAGAAGTTTACAACACTCTTGCTATTATGCTCTATGTATTGGTCCTATTTGGTCCCAATAACTATTTATGAAAAGTGTCTAGATTAGTAAGTGGGGCATATCTATCCAATGTGATTCCATATTTAATAAATTTTTGTGAGTATCCCAAAGACTAATGCCTTAGGTGAAAGCCTCGAAACATGCTTTCATATAAAAAAGGAGGGGGTTCCAAATATATAATAGAGATAATGGGTATGTTAGGCATAGTCAACCAACTTAAGGCATAATTTAACTCCTCACTTGCGTACTTGTTCTTCTTTTATGCGTGTTATATAGACTTAGTCTTCTAAAATGTAATAGTCCTGTAGACATCTAAAATTGGGTGGTTTTAGGCTTGAACTTTGAATCTTGTGAAATCAAGGGTAGTTACAAAACTTCATCATCCTTAGAGATTAAAGAAGTTAACTAACTTAGTTATCTCTATTTGCTTTTTCCTCTTTTTTGTTTTCCTTCTTCAATTTGTGAACTTCCTTTTGTAAATTCTCAATCTCAATATCTTTAGTTGTATGCTGTAATGGTGTAGCCTGAAACCTAAACTCTTCCTCTTTGATTTAGCCTCAACCTTTTTCTCGTTGGGGGTTCCAAATGTATAGTAGGGATAGTGGTTGGAATGCATGTTCAACCACTTGAGACATTAATTTGGCTTCTGTTGGGCTATGTCATTTCTTATTTTGTGTTTGGCTTGGGTCTAAGCCTAAGCTTTGCTACTTTAGTCGATATCTTTCTTGCGTTAGACCATTGGTAAGTCAAAATTGTGCCAGACACCATCTTACACCGTTTTGCGTGTAAGTGCTGAATACAGGGAGCTAGTACTTGTGGGATTGTATCAGACCCTTGTTTTCTAGTGCACGTGGTTTTTATCCTTTATCCTAAACCCTCTATATGCCACATGTCACATATCACCTACCACATGCCACGTGTTTAAAGGATAGTGGTGC